AGTATAAGAATTATATCATCATCATCATCATCACTATTTTGTGGTATGTAGTTGATATGAATATATGGAAATAGTAGCCCAAGAGCCTAATATAACAGAATCAAGGTTATCACTTCTCAGTCTTTTGGCTAAGAACAAGTGTATAACATAATCAAGGCAATATCCTGAACCCAGAGTCTAGCTCCCACTGTAAATGCTTGTGCCCAGGAGCATGGATAGGGGTGAGGCTGCTTAATGGCACAGGATGTGCTCAGGTCATGTGGAGGTCTTTATTCAGGATACATGGGAAAGGGTAGAGGTAAAACCACTATCAAAGACTTACATCATCTCCATAACTATCCCTGTCCCTTCTTTGGGGGGCTCCTCTAGTTCTCACTAAATCTGTCATAGCATCATCAGGGACTCATAGACCATGGACAACAATAGTGAAGACCCCAAATCACACCGCATGAGTTTTCAACTGCATTGGGCCCAGGACTCTCCACAGTTACTTGTTAAGATATCCTGTCCCACCCTACAACCACCCTGAATCTGAGACGCTAGAATTTCAGGAACTCCTCAATTTTAACAAATCCCTCAAACTAGAGGGTTCACAAACTTCATTTATTCCACAGTTTTGGAAAAGATGGTCACATTTGTGTTTGCGTGGGAAAGATGACCTCAGTCATGCTTGTCAGTTAATATAGAGCTTGCAAACAAAAACAAAATTTTGCCACTTTTGTGTGTAAACCAAATTGTTTGCCAACAAAAGCATTTGTGAATGAGGTATCACTGTATAAAATGATAAAATAACCAACTCAAAAAGACAGTGAGAAAGAAACCATTATATTTGACATGATTTGGCCACTTCAGGTCTCAGAAAGAGTGACAGGGCACTATGTCCATGACATGTCTTTAAGGCAGGGGAAGGGGTTGTCTAGCAGTGACTAAAAAGGTGGTACTTTTCTTTGTCCTTACCCTCTTTCCTGCAGATGGAGGAAATCTCTTCACATCCTCTGTCTGGCCTGCAGCTCCACAGACCATACTCACACCTACAGGTAGGACTCCTCCCCCTAGTCCTCATTTCCTGGGAAAGTCCGTCTTCCTTTCCATGGACAATCCTGTTGCCCACCATCCTACACCCCACAGAGATGTCTTTTCCCAATAAGGCAAAACATCCCCAGAGTCACAGTCTAAGGGAAGTGTCCTGAATATCTGAGAAAATCTGCTTCTTGGTTCTGTCCACTAATCTACTCCTGTGAATGCCTTTGAAGAGTAAGAAGAAAGCAGACTTTGCCAGTGCATGTCAGCATCTTGGGTCCCCAAAGGAAGTGGTCCCTGGATAGCTGGGGATTCTTTGAAGCAATCTGACCTCCCAAGGCAAAAATGCTCACCCACAAAAGCATTTCTTTAAGCAGCCAATGGAAACCATGCAAACAGAAAGACCTGGAAGGCGTCTCACCACTTTAAAGCATTCTCCAAATGTACATTTGAGCTGGTATGATGACCTCACGTCCAGCTGGCCCAGCAGTTACTGCTATTAATTCCCCATGGCAGTTCCCACACAGGATACTAGGGTCACAGAGACACCATAGAACCCAGAGGCTGGATGCATTCTGATGATGAATCTGTGTGGTTCACTCAGATTTTCTCTCTTTATCCTGTAGATGCTGAATCATCCACCTCCCAACCAGAAGGTAGGTCAAAGTGTATGCACTGGACCATTATATCTTCCTTCTCAATCTCTTGTAGTGGGGCTCAAGGGAGGGTGGAGAAATGTAAAGCCACTAGAGAGCCATGTAATGCCTATGCCCCGTGGTGGGACAGTGGGCTCCTAGTCTCTGACTTGTGTGCCAACTGGTGGGGTTTCCTTGAGCTAGTCATCTAGGCTCTAAGCCACAGTTTCCTCATCTCTCTAGTGGTGCTAGAAATGTTTTTCTGTCTCCATCATGATACAATTATGAACAAGCATGGGAATAGAAATAAAAAAGCATGTACTTTTGTAAAGACAGAAGCAAAATGAAGCAGTCTTGTTTCAATCACTCCTTCTTCTTGCTGTCACTGCTCCTGAGTAGTTCCTCGTAGACTGACCCAAGGACTCACTCCATCCACTATGCACCTGCTAGGTGATGACAAGAAAGAGACAATGCACACTTTTGTGTTCCATGATGTCTCTCCAAGTGCCCCTTCACTGCTGATCATGAAACCCCCATCACCACTCCATCAAAATCAACAACTCCCAGAAAGACCCTGCCAAGGGCACTGGGGTCAGGGCAAATCACATGACATAATATGCAGAGTTTACCAGTGGATTGTCTCCATAACAGTCTTGGGTTTTTTCTTAGTACTAGTCAGCTGAGTCACCCCTTTTGTGATTTAATTCCTTCCCAAATAGCAGAGAAAACTTAAGCAGATTTCCACTCTATGTCTGATGCCCAAAGCATTGCTCTCATCCTTAGAGACAGAAGGTCTAGAGATGGCTACATGGCCCTCTTATTTTCTCAGAGCTCAGAAAACATCTTTTTCCTTATTTTAGCCACATTTTTGTGGCACTGGAAATTGAACCCGGGGCTTTGTACACACTAGGTGAACTTCACCAGTGACTACAACCCCAGGTATTTTTTAAAATTTTTGATACAAGGTCTTGAAAAGTTTCCCAGGTAGGTCTCAAATTTGTAATTCTGCCTCAGCCTTCTTAGTTGATTGGGATTACAGGCATTCACCACTATGCCTGGCAAAGTTAGCAACTTCTATGTTCTTTCTAACTAACAGATAGAGGAGATATTTCTAACATTGCCCACTCAAAACTGGCAGATATCCTGCAGTCTTCTTATACATGGAGTTTGTCCTGGGCAGTGCAGCTTTTGCTTTGAATCATGGGAATCTATCAACCCTTGCTAAATAGTTAAGAAAGCAGCCTAAGAGTAGAATTATATGCAAAGCCTTTCAAATCTTGTGTGCTGAAGCTGGCTGCAATTGTCTTGCCTGAGGCTCAAATGTCTCACTTAATAAATTCAATTAAAAAAAAAAGAAGTGGAGAAAATAATAGTGCTACCTCGGATGTTTGTTGGGAGTTTACAAAGAGATGATGAATGTGGAGAGTTTAAACACATCCTGACACACAGTCAGTGTTCAATAAATGGTGTCTGTGTTTATCCATCCAAATATCTAACACAGAAATGAAAAACGGAAAGCCATATACAAGCCATTCAATAAATAGGCTTCATCATAAGTCATCAGCTGATTGTTGTGATTGGTGGCAGATTTAAAACATATTTTCAAATAATTGTGACATCATTCTGTGTAATGTCACCCAGATAATAAAGTCACTGTTTTAGTTTATATTTTTCACCAAGACACATTCTGTCCAAAATAGTGTACTCCTACAGATATCTGGCTAGTCACAGTGGACTCTGATGTCTGTCTGTCTACATGACAAAAGACTTACATGGTTTAAATTTGGGTGGATGTTTGGAGAAAATTCTGAATTGAATTTTCTCCTTATGCTCATCTCTTTACATCAGGAAAGAAGATCAAGTAGGCAATAAAAGTGTTAGACTTCATATCATTACCAGCTTTTTTCTGTCATTTCAGTAAGAAATAAGCTCTTGGGGTAGACTTTAAAATAAGTAGACTTGATTCCACATTCCAGTGAAGACATCTCGAAGTCAGGACATCATGGGCAAGCCCTACTTTCTGCATTTGTAAAATAAAATAAAATCATCTCCTTCCTGGGTGTTTGTGAGGACAAAGCAAGATAACCCAGGCAGAACATTTGACATGTGCCTGCCACAAAGATAACACTTGGTGAATGCAGTCCTACTTAAGGCAGCTGTCCTGTTCTGTCTCTGTCATTGCTCCTGAGCCATTTTCTGACTGGGGCAACAGAACCGGGCAATGATTCTTGCTAAGGTGCCTGAATTTCATGACCATCTGTCCTACCTCTTCTGTCCTTCTTGTCCCCTTCCCCAACATGTCCCCAACTTCAGTCCCAGTCCCAGCCTATCTGAGGTCTAAATTCTCTGTAGTGTCTGCTCAAATCATACAGAGTTAGATATCCCTTTTGCATTTGAATGTCACTACTTAGCCGAGTTTGCTTAGGTTATTGATCTGTTTGGGCCTCAGCTGGTTCCTCTGTAATCTGAGGGTTATTCTAGAACCTAATGGAAAGGATAATTGGGGCTTCACTAATATATGTAAAGTTCTTAGCCACTTGTCCTTTGGCTAGCCTGGCAAATACAAACACACACACACACACACACACACACACACGCACACGCACACACACAATTCACTGGGTGTTCAGATTCCTAGCATGACTACTTAATAAACATTTACACATGTCCTATTCAGGTCGTGGGAACGCAGGAAGGAAAGGGTCAGACACAGGGATAGTAGTAGTAGCGGGAGTAGCACCAAGCACTGATTGAGCACCTACTGTGCACAAAGGACTATGTCCAGCTCATTACCTGTGCCATCTTCTTTGTCTCTCTTGTTATACCCATATTGCAAATGAGGGACTGAAGCTTGGAGAGCCAACATAGCCTGTCCTTTTCTAACTCCAAAACCAATGCTCTTCACCACCCCATCTCCCAGTCCCTGCCCTAACTAAATATGTCTGCAATCTAGTGAAGATGTCAAGTATACACTGTCTACCACCATCAGCGCAGATGGTGGTAAGGGCCACAAAAATAGAAGAGGAGGGAAGCAAGCTATTGCAACTGGCAAGTTGTTCTGGGTCCGCAGGGACAGCTTCAACCAGTTAAGGCAATAAAAGAATTGGGTGCTTTGTGCCTGAATTATTTGTATTTTTCTCATAAGATGTAAGACCTCGCATTTTTATGGCAAGTATTCTGATTTGTAAATTCAAGTTCAGCCTGGAATTTCAAACTGATCAGCCCACTCTGAGCTCAGGTCCAACCCGTCAGCCATGCTTATAAATTTTTGCTGTCAAGGGGATGATTTCTCTGGTCAGCTGCTTGGACCTACTACAGAGTCAGTGTGTGTGTGAGTGTGTGTGTGTGTGTGTAGAGAAGGCGAAGAGTAGTGAGGGGGCCAGGAATACTCCTCTAAATGCTGAGTCCCAGCTCCTCACCTGCACAAATGACATTGGCGTCCTCCAGGTGCTGACAGTTTTCCCAGCTTGGCCCACATGCCCCAGGGAGCCCTCACTGCCCACACACTGCACACTGGCCAGCAGGAGCTTCCCAGAGCCTCCCCACTGCCTGGCCACACTGCAGCTGGCAGCACACAACAGTGGCCTTGGCTGGCTCCCAGAGGTTGTCGTGCTTTTCCCCCTGTGCCCTGGACAAGGACGTCCACCCAGCCTAAGCACCTTCCTTTGCTGTTCAGTAGCCTCACCTCCTGCAAAGATTTATAAGTGTGGCTCACAGGTAGGCTGGACCCAGGCTCAGAGTGGGCTGCTGGTCAGTTTGAAGTTCCAGGCTGAGCTTGAAGGTACAAATCAGAATACTTGCTACAAAAATGCAAGTTCTTACATTTTGTGAGGCAAAATACAAATACTTCAGGCACAAATCACCTAATTATTTCATTGCCTTAATTGGTTGGAGCTATCCCTGCGGACCCAGAACCACTTTCCAGTTCACATGGTTCCCTTCACTAGAATCCCACATTTATTTTGTCATCCTGGGCCACAGGACAGCATTCTGCCATACTCTCACAGCCAAGGCTTCCATCTCAGCACCAAGGAGGGAGTTTGGAAGCCCAGTGTCTAAGTGGGAGGCCGCAGGGTCACAATGTAAAGCGCATGGGCACAGGAAAGAAAAGCCCTGTGGCCATTTCTGTAAATGATCCACCATAGGCACACTGTCTTAAAAGGGGGTATGGATAAGGAAGAAATCTTAAGATCCGTGGAGCAGACCTGGTGGGGAATGGCACGGGCTCCCTCATAGTAGCATAGACAGGGAGTAAGTTGTTAGAGGATAATCTTCAATGGGCAGAGGAGGTAGCTCTTATCTCTTGGCCCCACTGTTCTTCTCCCAGGAGGCTGGGTCCCTGTGTGGCTGGTAGGCACTGATGAACGTTGTGCAGGCCGTGTTGAACTTTTCTGCCAGGAAGTCTGGGGGACCGTGTGCGATGATCTCTGGGACTTTCCACAAGCAAATGTCATCTGCAGGCAGCTGGGATGTGGCTGGGCCATTTCAGCCCCGGTTGAGGCCCACTTTGGGGAAGGTTCTGGGAAGATTCTCCTTGACAATGTGCACTGCAGGGGAACTGAGCAGCGCCTTGAGGAATCCACTCATGTTGGCTGGTTCTCCCACAACTGCGGTCATGGGGAAGACGCCAGCGTGATCTGTTCAGGTAAGTCTCCTCTACCCACTAGCTCCTCTCGTGGACTGATCCCAACTTTAGCTCTTCGCAAGAGAACATTTTTGAATGACAGTGTAAAAAAACTATTGAACATGAAACACTATGTTATTCACTCATAGAAAACATTTTCATCTTCCCTCTTTCTAGATGCTGAATATTCAGTGGTCACATCACCAGGTAGGGAAGATGATGTTTTGGGGTGCAGCTTATCCACACCTGAGGGAAGAGATTCTACTGAAAATCAGATGTGTGTTATTCTCCAAGCCAGTGGAGTGGTTGAGTGATGTGGAATGACCTGATTGTCCAGTGGGGAAGTGGATCGTACCATAGTAGTCAACTAGCCCAGCCTCAGTGCTGCCTTTCCCCCACTCCACTGTGTATTTCACACTCAGAAAATGCATTCTCGGTTTCTCAGACTTCTGCAGAGCACTTTTGGTTTGTCAGCTCTGAGGCTCACAGAAAGACAATTTGATTCGGATGGGTAAGGGGGTGGTTAAAATATGAGAGATGGGTAAAGGTGCTTCCTGCCTAGTACAAGTGGTCAGTGGGACAGATGTGGGCAAAGTCAAGGTGAGCCAGTCTCATCTCCACTCCCTCTTTACCCCTGCCGTGTTGCTGGTGCAGACCAGGCCCCACACAGATTCCTACAGAATGTGGGTTATTCCTATACACTCCCAGCCCCGAAACCTGGAGTTTCCCATGCCAGTGTTCTCATCTTCTCCCTCTCCTTTGCCCTCTCCTCCCCTACTTCTCTTCCAAGGTCACATGACACTCTGCTCTTAGCCATTCCTCAGTCAGAGAGTGAGTTATGACTAAAGCTACTTAGACAGAGCTTGGTAAAACTTCATTTACACCCCCTCTTGGGTTGTCAGTTGGGAACACATTGATCTAGGAGGAAATTTCCAAAAGGAGGTGCTAAGCTGAATGTCACTGGTGGGGAGATGTACGAGGAGGAATGTGTTAGTTTTCCCCGGGACAAAATACCTCACATAAATCAGCCTTAAGGAAGAAAGATTTATTTTGATTCATAGTTTCAGAGGTTTCAGTTTATGGTCAAGCAGCTCCTTTGCTTTCGCCTTGTGGCAAGGTCAAAGCATTATAATAGGAGGGCATGGGCAGGGGATTTAGCTCAGTGGTTCTGCTGTCTGCCTCGAAAGCGCAAGATCCCCAGTTCAGTCTGTGGTACCAAAACAAAAACCAAACACACCAAAAACAAAACAAAAATCCTAATAGTAGGGCATGGCAGAGGAAAGTTACTCACTTCGTGGTGAGCAGAGTTCAGAAAGAGAGAGGAGCGGCCAGGGACAAATGTACTTCAAAGACACACCTCCAGCGACCTACTTCCTCCAAGCAGGCCTTACCATGTGGTTTCCACCACCTTCCAGTTCTGCCATCAGCTGGAAATCAAGCTTTCAGAACATGAGCTTTTTTAAATTTTTCTTTTTATTAGTAGAAGTTTGTAGTACATAATGATTACATTCATCATGGGGATTTAGTATGCTTACATAACACATCTTAATTTTTTATGTCCCCTTTCCCTCTCCTTCCTTTTCCCTTCAGCTCTTGATTCCTATTCTACTTGTAAAAGATCTATCTCATTTCCTATTCTCTCTCTCTCTCTCTCTCTCTCTCGTTTTTGCTCTTCAATGTCTTTATACTTTCGGTTTCTTACATGAGAAACTATGTGATATTTAAACTGTGTGTCTGATTTATTTGTTAACATTATGGTCTCAAGATGTGCTCATGACATGAACTTTTAAGGGACATTTCAGATCCAAATCATAATAGCACCCATAGATTTAGTCATTGGGTCACTGGGTCATTGGAAGAGGCTCTAGGAGCCATAGTTTCATGGCTTTAGCTTTATAAACTCTCAATTTAAAAATATCTCACTTTCATGTATGACAAAAGAATAATTCCTCACCATCTGGGAAGGATCTAGGTTGGTGTTTCTTGCCTCTTATATGTTAGTGTTTCCTCCACGCTCAGGCCTCTCCCCCAGAGGCTTGACTCAGCAGTTCTGAAAGAAGCTGAATCAGTGTGCTTGTTACAGGCTGCTCGGGTTTCCCATGTGCAGAAAGGGAAGCAGACCTCAGAGTCTGCCTCCAGTCCACATGCCATTTTTGTTTTGGCAGGTCGCCCAGTGGCTGTCTTGGCAGCAACAATGGCTACAGGTGAGAACCTTGTGCGTGTCCTTAGATGCCCTGTTCACTGTCTTATAGCTGAAGCTTTGAAATGATTCTTCCAAAATGTGTGCCAGAATACCACTGCTTGGTCAAGATCACTCCTCTGAAACGGTGTTCTGGGTAAAGGACCCAATAATAAAAAACCAACTGATTTCAGGTTCCAATTCTATGTCCAGTTAGTCAAAGAAGAAAATCCCAATTATCGATATGTAGGCATTGCTGGAATGATGTTGCCAAGGTGGTACCCAAGGCCGTGCTGGTATAGTTTATCCACCATAATGAGTCCGTTCTTTCCATCCTTTCCTTTTCTCCGACAATCTCAGTTCTCCTTCTCCAGACTTCCTTTTATCTGCCATTTTTTATCTGTTTTGCCTGTTCTTTGGGCTTCTAGAAGCTCCACTGAACTTTTCTTAGCACCACTCGGAGATAAAGGACTAAAGAAATACCGATTCTTGAATAGCCTGGATGGTCCTTTTGGAGAAAAATCACAGTCTGACAGCCAAGGCCAATCACGTGTTAGTACACTTTCCACACAGCCAGATAACCTGCTGCAGAAAAGCCAGGTATTTCCACAGCTACTGGCATCACCTTTCATTTCAGTCTGGGTGTTGGACAGATGGCTAGACAGATAAGCAGATGAAGAAACAAACAGATGGGTGGACAGGCGGACAGGAGGTGTGATCAGTGTTACGGATACTGGAGTGCTGGATTGCTGAGGGCAACTTCTTTCTACTGAATACTAGATTTTTAAGAATGTAGTTTTACAACTGATGGTGGGTGAAGCCCTACCATTGTCAGAAGGTCTCTGTTCAATCATCCTGAAGCAGGTCACCATTCACAACTACTAGTGACACAACAACAACAACAACAAATACAGGACTCACAACTGTGGAGTAACAAGAGGGAAAGGTTCTAGCCAATCCTAGTAAGCCCACGTCAGTGGTTACAGTCTCAAAAGAAATAAGAGCTGTTTTAAGCTTCAGACAAGTTCAGGCCCAAATTTCCTAAGTTTTAAAGACTTCTTAGACTAATTTATCCCAAAGCATAGTCACAAAATGATGATTAATGAAAACTTTTTTTGGAATAGTGGTGAAAATCAACCAAAAAGGTATGAATTACAAAATTATTAAATGGAACAAAGAAGAAAACAAATTCTAAAGTATCTCTCTGCATTTAGAAACATATCGGTGTGGTGGCACTATTACTAACTCATCTGGAGCGATTCGGAATCCCCCAAAGAACGAAATGCATGACAACATAACCTGCATGTGGGAGATCAAGGCCAATGCGTCTGATCACATACTGCTGGCCTTTCCGTATCTCAAGCAAGTACTAAACTCACTAAGTACTCTGGGCAGTTTGAATTCTACTCACTTATTCTCTTGTGGATTCACCTAAGCAAGAGTCCTTTGTGCATTTTAAAGTTTTTATTTTTAAATAAGTAGACACATAGCATACAAAAGTATTACTGTAACTATAGAACATTATCAGAACCTGGAAGTTGACACTGGATAATGCTCTTAGCTAGACACAGACCCTATTCAATTCCCATCCATTTTACATGCACTTATTTGTGTGTGGGGGTGGGGGGATCCACTCAACTTTACCCCATGTGTAAGTTCATGTAATCGCTACCATATTCCAGATGCAGACCTGTTACATTACCACAAACCACTGAAACCATATTCGTCCACTGCCCCCTCTGTCCTCTCAGATTGTAACTGATTGTCTCTACACTTTGTTGTTTTGATAATGTTATGTACGTGGGATCATATGCTGCATAGCTTTTGGAGATGGAAATCTCGCACTCAGGATGATTCCCTTAAGATGTATCCAGGCTGTTGTGTGCATCGATAGTTTGATCCTTTTAACTGCTGAAAAGTGTTCCATTCGTATGTTTACATCAGAGTCTGTTTAATCCTTTCGCTTCTGGCAGACATCTGCGTTGTGTCCAGTCTTGGGCTGTCACAGATAAAGCTTCTATAAACAATCTCATATAAGTTCTTATGTGGACGTTAGTTTTCATTTCTCAGGGATAAATGCTAATGAGTATGAGTACTAGATTGTATGGTAAGAACACATTTAGTTTTTTTACAACATGCTGAACTCTTTCAGTTACTTCCATTTCACAATTCTAGCAGCAGCATATAAAATCGTGTTTCTCCACATCTTAGCTGGATCTGCTATTTTTTCTGTTAGTTGTTTGTATACAAATCTTGTATATGTTTTATTAGATTTATATGTAGATATTTCTTTATTGGTGTTGTAGTCACAATAAATGATAATGTTTTTAGTTTTGATTTCCACGTTTGTTGCTCCTATATAGAAATATGATTGACTTTTGTATACTTCCATGGATACTTAATTAAAATGAAATTCACCTTTAAGGGCTTTGTGGGGGTGTGCTTGTGTGTACAAGGAGAGACACAGAGACAGAGCGGCAGCCCATGTGTGTCCTGGCCAGCTGGTTGAAGATGCAGATTCCAGGGTACCCCCAATCCTATTAAGTCAGGAAATCTGAGATTTTAAATAGTAACTACATACTATTTATTTCATTCGTAATGAGTGGCCTATGTTAATTAACCACGAGGAACAACCTAAATTATTTTTACTTTTGAATTTTTCTTAATTGAAAGATGGCTTGGAAAGGTTGACTCTTACAGTTGTCACATGGAGATGGTTTCTACATTCACAGAAAACAGACATGGAAAAATCAGATGACTTCCACAAAGGGATCTGGGCAGAATTAACACCCACTTCCCTGTAGGCAGGTTACTGCCAAAAGCCTGTCAATGGGCTGTTGGAACCTGGAGCTCTATCCCAGGAGAGGTTGATCAGCCTCCCACAGCCCATTGCCCTGCTATTCCTCACCCCCAGATCTCCATGCAGTGAAATATCCTTGATTAGCTGGGTCCTGCCATTGGCCCAAAGCTGTGAGGTACCTTGAGGCCTCAGCTGACCTGAGACCCTTACTGGGGTTATACTTAGAGCCAGGCCCTCTCTCCTCCCTCAGATAAAATCCTATTTCCTTAGGCAATGACTCTCTCAGAAAAAAAGTAGGATAAAAGTATCTATACTGCTTCTGCCTCACTGATGGGCTTTCAAACTGTTCCAGCCTCTTCACAGTCACATAATAAAAAACATCTCACAGTGTGCCTTCTATACCTTCTGACGAAGAGACTAAGCATGCCTGGGTATTTGCTTCTTTAGCCTTGACTGCACCAGTGAATATTTTGAAATCCTGGACGGCCCTCCATCTTCAGCAAAGTCTTTGGGGAAGACCTGCTCTGGTTTCTACCTCACCTACTCGTCCTCCTCTAGCTCAATGACTCTTGTGTATTTCCGAGGGTTCAACAACATAGGGAAAAACTTCATTGCTTACTATTATTGTGCAACCAAAGGTAAGTTGGTGAGAAACCATGGCTCTGGACCGTCTGCCTGGACATCATTACTTGCTCGGTGATTGGACAAGGGACTTGACAACTCTTGCCTCTGTTTCTTCCATATATTGTGAGGCTAACAGGAGAAGCATACTTCCTAGGTTTGCGGGGGGGTTACATGCAATGACACAGCAAAGCATTTTTGCAAGATGTCCACCTTAGTACATCCTAGGTGTTTGATAACTGGCAACTTTATCATGAGCTTCCTAATTGGACACAAACATCTCTTCACAGCCAGCTCATTAGGGAATACTTTCTGACATTACTGTGAACCTAGACTGGGCATTTGAGGATCTGCAGAAGAGGAGGGTGCAGTCCCAGGCTAAGAGAGGTTTATGCACAACCTAACATAAGTTTAGGACAAATATACATGATGCAACAGAAGACAAAAGCAATGCACTGGGTTAAGGCAAACAGTAGGACATATAGAACATATTAAATTGGCACATGTATGCATCTCCGCAAAAGGCATTAGGAAACAGAGTTTGCAACACAGGCTGCATTGATTAATAAAAACCTCAGGGGAATTTAGCCTTAAAGCTGATGAGGCCATAAGTAGAGAAACAGGAAAAGGGCAATCAGGAGAAAGAACAGTATGAGCCTGGAAATGGGAAGTACAGGGTGTGTGCCATGAAACAGACAGAAGCAGAGCTAAGGGTTTTTGTTGAAGGACAATGTGCCCAAGTTAATAATAATAAAAATATCTCAGGTTGGGGATTTACCTCAGTGGTGCCACTGCCTGCCTTGCAAGCACAGAGTCCTGAGTTCAATCCCCAGTACCAAAATAATAATAACAATGATCAGAATACTAAAAACAGCAGCTAATGTGTGTTGAATGTCTATTATACACCAGGCAACATTTTAAACTCTTTGGATGTGTGACAGTAACACAAATCTATGGTTATTCCTCCTTGACATATGGGGAAACTGAGGCTTGGGATGTTCAGTAATTCCCTGAGGTTCTGCACTACTTACCACGAAGAGAAGGTAGAGCTCATAGAACTGCAAAGGCCTTATGTCTGCTTTGTCCAAGATGCCATTAGAACAGTTGCCAGTGCCTTCAGAAGGTGTCAAGGTGACTCAGTGAGCAAGCTGGGGACACATGCTAAAAGAGCCAGGTGTGGAGGTGCACACCTATAATGCCAGCACTCTGCAAGACTAAGAGGATAGGAAGTTTGAGTCTGGTCTGGCCAAATTAGTAACTCAGGCCCTGTCTCAAAATTAAAAAAAAAAAATTAAAGAGTTGGGGATGTAGCTCAGTGCAACATCCCTGGGTTCAATCCTCAGTACCACAAAAAATAAATAAATAAAAACCGGAGGAGACACTCTGTGTCACAAAGAGGATCAAGAAAGGATCAGATAAAATCAATATAATTGGTATTAAGTAGTTACTAACAACGATTTTCTTATTTTGCAGAGTCAATGTCGAAGTCCCCATATCTAGTCAGTGAGTTGACTTTTGTGTTATTACTTAATGCATTCCTAGTTCTTGTTTTTGCCTCTGTCCTCACTTCTAGTGCTTTTATTATCATCGTTTGATCTCTCCCATATATGTTTCCCGATTACATACGTAAATGCATTGTACCTGAAAATTATGTCTGCATGGCTTTTGTGCAAGTACGACACCCATTCATACTGGAAACAAGTTATGCCTATTAACAGTTGAGTCTCTGTATATGAGCAATTTTTATTTGATCTCCTAATTCCTTGTCTTTATCAAGACAGTGAGGCACCCCTAGTGAAATACTCCACATCTAAGAAAAGTTAATAAAACAGAAGCAAGTTAGAAAAATGACTGTTTTCCCCAGCAAGATGCTGACTGCAAATGTTTGCATTTTAGCACAATTTTAAATATTGTTAAATTTGCAGTGACTAGGAAGAATCAGAGAATATCATCTTAACTGTATCCCATACCCTTGAGAAACATAGGAGCTACATGAAAAGGTTTGATTGGGGAGATCATTTATCATGCAGGTGAGAGGTAAAAGGAATCAGCCAGAATCTGGGCATACTGATTTTGGAAGGCTGTCTCCTGACTTGCCCACATCCTCCCTTTTTATTCAAGGGTGTCCTATTGTATCCACAGCCATCCCAATAATATCAGCCATCCAAACACCAACAGTGATTCCAACAACAACAGCCATCCCCAAAGCAACAGCCATCCCAACAACAGCCATCCCAACAGCAACAGCCATCCCAACAACAGTCATCCCAACAGCAACAGCCATTCCAACAACAGCCATCCCAACAGCAATAGCCATCCCAACAACAGCCATCCCAACAGCAACAGCCATCCCAACAACAGCCATCCCAGCAACAGCCATTCCAACAGCAACAGCCATCCCAAAAGCAACTCCCAAGACATTAATAGCAAAGCCAGGTAAGCCCTGGAATGCATTTGTCATTCACCTGGTTCCTTGCCTCTCTGCATTTGTACCTGCTTTGTGTGTGGAAACTCTACCAACTGTACCAATAGATAAAATAGTTTATCTATTTGCAAATGGGCCAGCTGACTCTACCCAAGTTTTTAGGGCTGTTCAAAACTTTGGGGAATCTTCTGGCTCTGCATCCTAAGATGATCAAAGTTCACTTTTCAGTGCCTCAGCAGCTTACAAATGCCTTGCAGTAGGAGAGTCTCTTTCATTCTCATGTTAGCCCTGACCATAGCTAGCTCCCTGTCCATACCACTAGTTTCCCATCCACGGATTTCCATGTCAAAATCCAAACGATTTTTCCAGATGAGTGGAGTGTCAGAACCATTCCAGAGGCAGTGAGATAGAATACCTGAGGCAAAATAATGAACTTTGAAGTCAGGACACCTGAGTACAGATCTGCTACGTACCAGATGTGGGATTTGGGTTGAATCATCTTTCTTTTCCAACTTCCAGTTTTCTCATAGATAAAAATGACACATACCAGTATAAATGAGGGTGATACACACAAGTTTGAAAGTGTTTCCAGAAAAATCACAAATCACCATGCAAATTATATAAAATGTTTTCCTGCATTTACCCAAAACAGATGGCTATATAACTCTGCCAAAATAGATAATCAGTTGTTGGATTTGTTTAGGCTAAATGTTGTTGACATGCCTAATGACACAGAACTCTGTTGACTACTCAGTTGACTGACTCCACCAGTTTCTCTGGTGTCTCTAACAATACTGCAGGGTGGGGAGCTCAAGTACTTCTTGCCAGGGTGCCATGCTCCCAGAGGACAATCATCAGGTTTCCATCTGCAGAGGGCTGGCCAGAGCTACGGCTGATGGATGGTTCCAGACCGTGCTCAGGCCACGTGGAGGTCCTCTACCAGGGCGTCTGGGGCACTGTGTGTGACGACCTGTGGGACCTCAATGAAGCTGAAGTTGTGTGCAGACAACTGAGGTGTGGCCGAGCCATCTCTGCCCTTGGGAAAGCCCACTTTGGCCCAGGGTCAGGGGAAATCCTCCTGGACAACCTCCAGTGTGCTGGAGTGGAGCGCTTCCTGGGCCAGTGCACCCACTCTGGCTGGTCGGAGCACAACTGCGGTCACCATGAGGATGCCGGTGTCATCTGCTCAGGTACCCTCTCCCCTCTCAGATGGGCACTGACAGTGCCAGAATTCTCCGGGACCATCCTGCTAGCGTTCAGAGTTAGCCAGGAACAGGGACAGTATCCGCAACTGTAGTGTTTGATTTTGCTGTGTGGTTTAACTACTGGCTTCCAAAATAAAACCTTCTAATTTTCTCATTTGGCAGTCAGAATTACCAGAGTGTGTGTGTACTCTACTGAAACATGAAAGGCACATTTTTAATTAAGGGAGCTCTCAGAGCGCTTGTATAAAGGTGCTCTTGAAAAGAGGCACTCTTTGAAAAGATGCAGTCAAGGTGGGCAAGACTTGAGAGGGGTCAGGCACGAGCCTGGCTCTCAGAGCTGGCTCTAGTATTCACACTATTGGGCCAGTGTTTAAACACTCCAACTATTTGCTCTCCTGCAGGATTCCCAAAGGAAGCAGAGGTGTGTTTTGTAATGCACTTGCTTAGTAACTGACAAAGAGGCTCCAAATTTGACCATTCTTAAATAGTCATAACCTAAGGAAATCTGTTAGCTGAAGTTGCTAATTTTAGTTGCATTGTAGCAATTTTTAAAAATACCTACATTTGCTCATGTGCCAACAGCTGAGAATAAGTCACCTCCGGAATGTGTATTGATAATACTTTCTGGTGATGAGATGCCTTTTGGTAAACTAACAGTTGTAATCCGGAATGAGACTTGAAAGTGGTATTCACTACCTAGATCTTCCCACGTGGGCGGAAGCTCCATTGTTTGTCCCTACCTGTGGCTATAATTTAAGATATATCTTTAAAAGTAGTGTCTTGTGTGTTGGTATAGGTATGTGTTCACCCGTTGGCTTTCTGACACCTTATTGCAGTGGCACCTGTAACCTACTTACAAGACACATGGCCACAAGTTATTCCCAAATTTCAATA